CGTTTAGTAGGAACAAATTTCTTTGGTTTACCGAGAATTAATCATGTATTTTCAGTTTATGAAATATTAACAATTCCATTTAAACACCATTCAAAATTTATTCAGTTAGGTGAGATATAGAGTTCTGATTAATGATCAGAAAACTTTTTACTTATCCGTTTAGCTAATATGCTATCGTATATCGGATATAATCCAACAGATGAAACAATTATAGAATTTTATAAACCGAATTTACCTGATTGTATATTTGGCGCAGTTACATCATATCGTGATGTACCCGCTATACATTCGACTTTATCAAATATCTGTCTTGACCAAATTCTGAAGAAAAATAAATTATCGTCGTGTATGTATCAAAATGTACCAGATGCACCACATTTTATCCTTCAACTACATGATTCTTATTGGGTAGTTTCATTAAACACTTCTGTTGAATGTTTCAAAATTCCAATTATACCATCGGACAATGCATATAAAAATGTTGTTATGAAAAATGAACGAATATTATTGTCATCGGCGTCACTTCTAAAAGTACCCAACAATACAATGATCAGTTGCGATGATTTCAATATTATGGGTAAGCAGAAAGTAATCACCTATAGTTTAATTATCTAGTGCGATCGGTCAGTCTTTCACCATCGTTACCGGGTTCCGTCTTTCAGCTGTTCTCGCACCATAATGTGATTTTCAATACGCATGGTCAAAGGGACTTTATCATGCTGATCTATGAAAGTATCTTAGATGCGACTATTTGTTATGAATATACAGACAGCTATTGATTTCATTTCCTTCTTGTGTTTTATGAAATGATGTGCCCTAAAAGCATTAATAATAGAGTTTATATTTCAAACCAATACACCTTAGCCGGTGCATCTTACATTTTTCATAACATTTTCTCTTTGCAACAGTAATATACCTCATACGTTAATAGGCAAACCATTAATCAATGGTAATAATTCAGTTGTTGTAATACAAAATGGTACGTCATCAACAATCGATGCTGATATTTTTGATATCGAAAAACATCTCAATGATTCGTCTGTACCACGTCTGATTTACATTGATGCGAACATGGATGTTGTTAATCGTGTACTACCACCTATGCAGCCACCATATATTTCTACCATAAGACAAAGTCTTTTATCGCCATTATCGTACGTTCTGCCAGCATCCCTTGTTATTGTATTAATCTGTATTTTCATTATCTATTGCATGTGCAAACATAATTGTAAACGCCTACGTAATACTGGAGGTCAAAACACAGTCATCCTTCCACAAAATCGATCAAACCATCGAATGAACTTCTAACTTATTTCTACAAACAAATGGTAGAGAAAAACAAAAAGACAATGACAGTTGATTCTTAAAAACATGAATAAGCATAGCCTAGTGTTTATGTAAATCTAATAGGTAAGTAAAACAATCTTACTGTAACGTCATCTTCCGACATTGTCAACGAATTTTCTCACCTCATTCCTCTACTTTCTCTTCAGATTTATCAAGTTTTTATTCTATTTTCAGTTCCGTCTATATTCCAACGCCCGTCAATGAACATATTATACAGATCAGATAAAAGACACAGTTGACAATATTCGACCGTATAGCTGACTCCTACTCTTTTCTATCTACGTAAATGTGAACAATTTATAGAACATCAGCATGTACCTGTATTTTTCATTTTTTTTCTTTTCGTCGTCATTAAAAGACTCAAATAGACGTTCATCATAAAAATTAAACCATGTGTTACTCAACAAAACGGGACCTATAAGCGTAACACCACAAGTAGAAAGTACTCAAAACTCAGTTTGACAAAAACACCTCCCACACTCACAGTTGTCTCTCAAACATCCAGTAATTCCCTAATCGTACAACAGAAATTCCGCGCGAGTAATGCCACGATAAACCTAAGCCATAACACGAAACCTAGTTCTACATGATGAGAACCAGTTTTTAAAATATTTTGAACGATGGACATTGAGATGTATCCTTGTAAGATACACAACCGGATAGAGCTCGTCGAGATCTATCTGTTGAACTATTGATCTCATTTGGCACAGGTTTGAGAGCGAATGTTTTTGAGAAATACTGTCAGAAACCGCCTGAAAAACGAGTTTTTGAAATATTTTGAACGATGGACATTAAGATGTATCCTTGTAAGATACACCATTGGATGGAGCTCGGCGGGTTCTATCTGGCACATGAGATGTTTTCGTTGGCACAGTTCTCAGTGCGAATGTTTTATTGAAATATAAATTTTCATGTATTTTTGGCGTGGGAAAAATCCGTACTTTGTTTTTTAAAACTTTTCTGTATAATATGGCTGAAAGTTGAACATGTCAGCCGATAGAAAATTCGAACTGGTGTCTGGCACAGCGATGCTCGAAGTTGGCACAGTTGTCAGACTGAATGTTTTTGTAAAATAGTCCAATCTGCTGCTAACTTCATCTACGTCTTTTATGGAGTTGTAGTTGGACGTGGAATGAAACAAACATCGCCACAATGATCAGCGTGACCGATTACCTATAATCCACATGTTTCCGGGATTCCTAGACATTCTGCAACGAGATAGGTGTGTCCTCGGAAAAAGTCTGTATCTCCGAAACCAAAAAGGATGACGGCCTAGGCCTTACGCGATTTTGAAGAGAAATGTTTTGGCTATCGTTTGGTATTATTTGAGATTGGATGTCATAGTGTATTTTGGAACAGTAAGCTTTCGGGTTTTGCCTCGAATAGTAAACCATGGGAAGGCTGATCGAGAGCCCTAATTTTTTCATAGGTTTATGTCCCAACGTGTCTACTTTCAGAATCTGAAAACCGCAGGTCGCTAGCTATCATGGTTAAAAAGTTATGAGTATCGCGTCCACACACACCGTTTTTAAAAACGCATAAAAGTCACTATAAGAACGAATGTGAAACAAATAAAACGAAAAATTAATTAATTATGTTCTTCATGTTACTAATTATGATTTGCTGGACGAATTGGTTGATATAGCTCTGCAAAAAAAGGGGAAGAGATATAGTATGAAGATCCACACATTGAAAAGAAACAGCCAAGCGTTACTCTCAGCGCTATATTACAGAGAAAAATCAGAATAGCGTACACAGTGAATGATTTCTTAACGATTTAAAGTGATAATAGAGCAAACAAATGTAATACTACACACGAACGAACATCTTTTTATATAACTCATATATACTTTTCCAACATTTTTCAACATGAAAGACTTCATATACAGATACACATTCATGTCAGTGTATGACTCATACGGTAAACACGTGTGTGCTTGAAGATATCGATTTTTTTGTTATCATTTCAGACGAGACGAAAAAGCAGTGTCTGTTATACAAGGCACTTATTTCTGAAAGTGATGGTGTGAAGACCACTTTTATATTCGAACTTTTTGCAGTTTCAGAAAACACAACTCATCAATATTTTTCTTTTTATTGTTTATTTATGCGTTGCACGTCGTTGCTCTTGGGGAAAAAACGAAGCAGGACGACGAATGATTATAAACGTAATTATCGATAAAGTATTAGAATTGAATCCAGATTTATTTGGTTTTGTAGAAGAGCAATTGTGTCAGAATACAAGAGATTTATTTGATAACCAACCTACCTTATCAACTAATACACAACCAGATGTAATGTTGATGCATGGTTATACTGATTATACTATACACAATATTTCACATCGTTCATCTTCATGATTAACTACTGTTACTAATGATCGAAATATGGAAAAAAACAGAATTATTGTAATTGAAGCAAAAATCCATTTCAGTAGGAACGAACAGTGCGCACAATTACTGGCAGCAAATGGAATATTTTTCCGCTTGTATTCTGACAGAATAAAGCTTCCCAGGTCCGAAAAAACGGCCCGTTAATGGTCGGTTAACCTCCAGTGAATGGTCACACAAAAAACGGCGCGTTAACGTTATGAAAACGGCGGAAAAACGCCCAGTAAACAAGCCGTTGACTTGCGGTTTTAGTGTGGCCGTTTCACGGTCCAAAGATCGTCTGAAAACGTCCATGGTCAGAAAACGGTCAGTTAACGGTCACCGTTTACCGACCGTTTGCTGAACGTTTCCAGACTATTTAATATTCATACAGAAGTTCGCCATTAATTGGCCATTAAAGGGCAGTTAACGGATAGTTTTTACGCCGTTTTTCACATACATGATAACGGTGAAAAAACGATTTATTTAAGACCCTAAAACGCTACGAGCTTTAGGTTCTGAAAACGGTCCGTTTACGGCACGTTAACTTACCGTTAACGACCAGTTAACGGGCTGTTAACGGTGCCGTTTCCTTGGACCTGGGTTATATCAGAAACAGAACACACAAAAAAGTACCAAAAAAATACTACTGATAACATCGAGTCGATTGCACAACTTCAATGGTTGTACAGAATATAGACACAGAACAGTGAATTTAGTTTTACAGTTTATTGTAAAGCTAAGTTCATGTGTTCGAATCTCTATTTGTACAAAATTGATTTTGTGTTTTTCGATAGTTTTAGTTTAGAATACTATAATGGAATATTTTTCCGCTTGTATTCTGACAGAATAAAGCTTTTATCATGATTGTTTGTCAGCAGTTGAACAAAGACTTTAAACCTGTCTATGGTTTATTAACAACTAGTAGTGAATTTGTTTTCTATCGTTTAACGCCACCAGCACAAGCAATAATTAGACCAAAATCACCTGGTGTAGTGGAAGAGAATGAAACAATGTGTTATTTCAAAAATTTTATAAGAATGAAATAATTATGGAAGATTTTCTATTTTTGGTGAGACATACTTTTGAAAGTTCAACAATAATTTTCCAACAAAAGGGCACAGATAAATTATAATGGAAAAATAATTCTAGTTTGAAAATTTTTCTTAAACTGTCGAAAGTATGCCTTGCCGAACATAGAAAATCGTCCAGGTCACTGGGTGTGTTGAATATGAAAAATTGCTTTTCCAGCATTCAAAATGAATTTTAATCTTTTTATTCAGTGATACCTTTAAAAGAACTAACTGACATAAATCTATTCGAACTTTTCACGCCTCTTTTCGCTGTACCGTTACGCTTGCTTATATCAATAATGTATGTAAAACAGGCATATCCCTACGAAAAATTTAGGCGTAAATGTGACTGGAAAAATCATTACTTTACGCGCTTTTATACAGTATTACTTTGGCATGAAATACGGTACATGGAGGGTCTCAATAGGCATAACTTAGTACTTAAAGTTGGCGTCTCAATTCAACGATGAAAAGCGGTTTGTTTATCCTGTACAACTCGTCGCTTTTCATTATGTACCTGATCTGCATTAATAGCACTTCTGATATGCGCTTCTATGCGGTCGTTGAGATATGGCATCGATGCTGTTTAGTCGGTATATTTATACAATACTATATGAGAATACATTTATTTTCCCCAGGAAAAAAAGATTTAGTTGACATCCTGCACATCAAATGAAAGCTCTTTGCATATACTGTCTGATGATGTTGTTTTGTAAAGGTAACAAATTTATTGAGAGTATATCGTTATTATTTAGTGGTTCTGAAAAACATAAATACATGTATATGGCTCATTACTCCTTGAATGCATAGCTGAATTTTCTTTCAAACTCTTCTTAAAACTATAGGTGTTATTAGCGGAAAGCATGATGTTCTCTGGATCAAGATATGAAGCAAGCAAAATACAAGGACTCTCCCGTTAGTGAGCAATCCACCTGTCTAATTTCAACAACGAATAAACCACTATTTCATATTGTTCATTATATATGTTATATATAATTTGTTATGTGTTTTCTTATTCGTTTGATCATGATGAAAGAAATAGCTTAATCCTCGCTACGTTCAAACTTCTTCCCTTAATATAGTGTGTGTCATGTGTCATTCTTTGAAGATGACACCGACACACCCTTTATTAAGGGAAGAAGTTTGAACGTAGCGAGGATTAAGCTATTTCTTTCATCATGATCAAACGAATAAGAAAACATAAGAAACTATATAGAATATGTAAGATCTTTTCTCTACAAATTGGCTGTTGGATAGACTAGTATATCTTCTATACATTCAGTGATCGGGTTATTTTTGCACAATAAAGTAAATGTATTAAAAAATGATAGTGAGCCTTAAATTTTATTCAGGCTATGCACTCCACATCTAATAGTCATGATACCAGTTGTTCTGTTGACCGAGTCAATCTTTCTTTATGACTCTAATAAAATTTAATCGAGATAGCCTTGAATTTCTCTTCAAAACTCGATAAAATACTTGAATACAGTATTTACGCTCTCTCTATGGCAATAAACCGTTATTACCAATAATGACAACTCAATAAGCGATAAACATTATGCGAAAGATTGAAAAATCGACTTTTTTAGCGCTTAAAGTTTCAAAGTGAAGTGCATAGATCGATTAAGAAATTATTTTACGGTAAAAAAGAGCTCCGCAACTTAAAAGGTGTCTTTAGCTTTGAACATCGTGCAAAAGCTCAACTTTTACGGGAAGAATGAGTTTCAACTGTACTATGCTTGAATGTTTAATTAAGAATTCCAATCTGTCATCCATTGATTATTCTTCACAATAGTGATCTTGTAAAAAGAAGAGAATCGATGCCGACAAGAACCTAGAAAGTAATTGATAGAAATATGGTCACAAGCTTTTGCACCAGATTCTTCAAAATCAAAATCACTATAATTACTCTACATTTAGTTTTGGATTTTATTTGTGATCATTAAAGTTTCAATTTTTCCTACTTCTTTCAATGGTGATCTACATACAATCGTCGATTTCATCATATAACACATATAACAAGAGAGAACTTAGGAAAAGAATAAAAATTTTCTATGTTAAAAATCAAATCTACTATTTCATACATGTATACACCTATTAATCTTGGCGCCTATTGTAAAAATTTTCGTCTTTTCATTTATCACTGCTGAGAACTCAACCGATGCATATTTATCACCAAGGTATTAAAAGGCCAAGCAGTGATGCAAAGAGATTTTTCATAGGGATAACTATTAAATGAAATCCTGCAAAAAATAAAAAGTTTAAGTTTCGTAAACTAAGAGAGTATATGTTGTTTAATGCATGACATGCAGTGGAATCTGCTTGAATTCTGGTATAGTTTCTAGAATAAAATACAGCGTTCACAATCATATCAAGTCATTTTTGTTGCTTGCATTGTAAGAAAAGTGAAAATTCCTGAGAGCTTTCAGCGTTATTTAGATTATAGATTACCCCTGCTTGACTTCCATCGACACATACATGGTTAAACGCAGAATGAACCGGAGAACATTTCTAGCCACTTGGCAGACCTTAGAAAAGCTCTCAGAAAAAACTAGGCCGAATTTACTGAAACCAACGTTCTGCTCTTCTTTCTTCAACGGTGATGATTCCGTGCTCCACACTTGTCTACTAGCCACGACGATACATATACCATTCGATAGAGAATTTCCCCCGCTACAATTGCATATATACAAAGAAGTGAAAAAGGTGTCCTAGGGCACCTTGACATTAGAAATACTGTTTGGAAAGCCGTGAAAAGTGGCTGATTTATTCAACGGTGACCATCCTGTGCTCCACACTTATCCATTAGCCACGACGATACATATACCATTCGATAGAGAGTTTCTTGCGCTACAATTTCATATATACAAAGTAGTGAAAAAGTGTCCTGGGGCATATTGACATTAGAAATACTTTATGCAAAGACGTAGCAAGTGGGTGATTTATTCAACGGTGATCATCCTGTGCTACACAGTTGTCCATTAGCCACGACGATACATATACCATTCGATAGAGAATTTCATCGCAGACTAGCGTGAAGGTTTAGATTAGAATTGGTATGTGGCTCGACATATAGCTGTTATTTTATCTAAGTATATTAGTCGGCGCCGCAATTTCTTATACGTAACGAGCGTTTGAAGAAAAGAAAAGATAACGTTAAATGTTTGGGGCCGAACTGAACGCAAAATGTGGTATTTAAAGTAGAACTTGTCGCTTTCTTTCCAAGTGGTCGACTAGTTGGAATGTATAGTAGAAATAATTTTGAAGGTATGCAATTAGTTATTTCGAAAATGTCTAGTGTTTGCCCGTATGGTAAATCTTTCCGTCGCGCTACTACCGTTCTACCAATGTGTCTGTTTATTTCGATTCGAAGGCTGAAAACGCTTCAGCAGAGTTGTCGGATTTGTAATCGCCGCCGTAATTCATATTATCTGTGGAAACGTAATAATCCTGAGTTCGATCAAATCATGAAACAAATGTGTGAAGAACTAAATCCAGTTGAAGCTCATAATGATGAAGAAGTACGTCTTGTAGGTTATTGTTCAAGCAGTTT